ACCTGTGGCAAGGACGGGAAGGCACAGGGAAGTGGAGCAAGAGAGGGCAAGTCGGTAGCAGGGTGTCACTGCCCACTTTGCGGGCACTTCCCAGACTTTGCGCTAACTAGGCTTATATTTTAAAACTTAAAAATAATTATCGTGTGCATGTGATGTGTGCGCACATCTCGGTGCAGGCTCGAGATGCCATAGTATGCCTATGGAGGTCCGGGACAGCTAGTTAGAATCAGGTCTTTGCTCTCGCTGTGGATTACGTGACAGAACCGTTCAGGTTTGTGAAGCAAACCTGGTGAGCCAAAGGCGACGGTGTCTGCTGGAGCCGAAGCATAGGCCACCCCAACCCCACCACCCCACAATTCCTGTCCCATCCTACAAGTTTGTTCGTTTGTTTGTTTTCTTATTCTTTGTTTGAGACGGGGAGGGTCTCACTCTGCACCCCTGGCTGTCTGGGAACTCATTATGTAGACCAGACTGGCCTCAAACTCACAGAGATCTACTTGCCTGGAAAGTTCAGAACAACCTTGAATGAGAACCTGGGGCTTCTGATAGTGACCTGGAGACCAGTGGCCCTAGGAGGATCTTTCTGAGCTCTTCCCAGCATGGGAATCTGGGGTTGGGATAGTTTTTTGGGTTCATTAAGTGAATTTCCAAATTTCTACTCCCGTGAACTGGGACCAGGACTCACAATAGAACAGGAATTTAAAAATGAGGAAACCCAGGCCATAGATCCTTGCCCTCTTGCCCTCTGTCTCGGTTCCTCTGCTTGTTTATACAGCTTTAGGGGATGGGGGAGCAGGCCAGGTGGAGCGCTTGCTGCACAAACATGAGGGAGGGCTCGTGCTTCATGCCCAATGCTCACATCAGGGGACTGCTGGTAACAGGCGTGTTTGAAACCGCCGCACTGACAAAGGGGGACAGGCAGAGCCCTGGGATTTACCAGCCAGCATAGCACTATCATCAAGCCCTCGGTTGCTGTCTCCAAAAACAAGGTAAATGGCCCTTGACGAAAGACTCCTGAGTTTCCCAATTTGGCTAGACCTACAATCCCCAGGGTCCCTTTTGTCTCTGCATTCCCAGCAGTGTGAGGACAAGCATGTTATAATTATGGCTTTCTACATGGGTGCTGGGATCTCAACAGAAGCATGTGCCACTGACTCCAAGTCCTAAATGGTTTTTGGTGTGCATGTGTTTAGTGTAGGTGCATGTACGAGTGTGTGTGCCCATGTGTTCATTTGCAGAGGTCAGGGGGGACATCGAGTGTCCTGCTAGACCACTGAGCCTTTTTCCTGGTCTCTTAGAAATCTGGAGCTAGACCGGCAGTCAACAAGGCTCCTCCTGTCTGTCCCTGCCGCAATGCTGAGAGGGTGTGTGCATTGGGGATCAGATCTCGGGGTTCCATGCTGGTGCCTCTGTGCCAGTTCTCCAGAGCCCCCTAATCTGTGTGTGAGTGTTTGTGGAGGATGGAGACACCAGGTGTCTTTCTTTATGGCTCTCTACCTTATTTATTTATTTTGGGACAGGATCTCTCTGTGCAGCCCTGGCTGTCCTGGAACTCACTCTGTAGACGAGGCTGGCCTCAGATTCAGAGATCCAACTGCTGATATTAAAGGCACATGCCACCACATCTGGCTCTAATTTCTTTCTTTCTTTCTTTCTTTCTTTTTTTTAAATGGTATCTCTGGGACTGGAGAGATGGCGTAGTAGTTAAGGACACTGACTGCTCTTCCAGAGGCCCTGGGTTTATCTTGTTTTAAAAGACAATGCCTAGGTGTAGTTGTAAGGGAAAAAGCTGAAGGAAAACGCATCCTGGTAGCTGCAGCCCCAAATCTTCACGTCATGACCCAGGAGTGGATACTGAACACTAGTTTTGTTCGAATATATATATATATATGTATATGTATATATATATATATATATATATATATATATATATATATATTTGAGACAAATTTTCTTTGTGTAATAGCCCTGGCTGTCCTGGAACTAGCTCTGAAGACCAGGCCGGCCTCGAACTCACAGAGATCCGCCTGCCTCTGCCTCCCGAGTGCTGGGATTAAAGGTGTGCCCTACCACCACCTGGCAATCTTGATCTTTCTTAAATTTCCTCAGTATACATATATTTTTTTTCTTTGATATGGAAGGGGACTTGTTAGAGACAGCTTTAAGGATGCAAGAAGACTCCACTGGAAAGAGGAACAAGAGGTGTACCTTTTTCTTCAAAAAACTGTGATAAAAAATAAACTCTGAGGCTGGGGAGGTGGTCCAGGGTAAGAACACTTCCCGCTCTTCAGAAGAGTCCTAGTTCCCAGCATCCACACTGGGCAGGTCATAGGCCCTGTTCCTGGGGACCCAACACCCTCTTATAACTGCCACAGCCGAGCCACTTGCACTCAGGTGTGCGCGCGCACACACCCACCCACAATTAAAAATAAACCTCTCTCTCTCTCTCTTGGTTTTTTGAGACAGGGTTTTCTCTGTAGCCTATCCTGGAACTAGCCCTTGTAGACCAGGCTGGCCTCGAACTCACATTTTGTGGCCCTGAGATCCTGGTGACTGAGAATATTATATTCTGAACAAAGTGCCGCTGGCTGTCCAGTGTTGAATAGTTCCCCTCCCAGGGAGACCTAGCAGATTTCCCAGCTCATCAGCATAGGGACTGGGCAGGCTCCTCTCCTCTGCTCTCCTCAAATGCCAAGCTCCAGGTTCCATAAGAGACTGTGTCTCAAAAAATAAAGAAACAAATAATAAGGTGGGGGACCAGGAAGGGCTCCATGGGTAACAGTAGCAGCTGTGAAGTCTCACAAACCAAGTTCAGTCCCCAGAACCCATGGAAAAAGCTGCGCACAGGGGCACAAATCTGTGATTCCACCATTTTCTCCTTTCTTTCTTTCTTATTCATTTTTTGAGAATTTCACTGTTCTTTTTCATTTGCTTGTTTTGTTTCTCGAGACAGCATTTCTCTGGGTAGGCCTCACCCTTTTGGGGATGCTGGAGGCAGATTATATAGAACAGCAGCGGGAAGAAGAGGCCCTGCTTCAAGGAGGCAGAAGGTAAGAACTGCTGGGTGGCGGTGGTGGTGATCTCTGTGAGTTCAAGGCCAGCCTGGTCTACAGAGTGAGTTCCAGGACAGGTTCCAAAAACCTACAGAGAAACCCTGTCTTGAAAAGCTAAAAGACTAAAAAAAAAAAAGAAAAAAGAAAGAAAGAAAATGGAAAAGGGCTCCTAGAAGTTGTCCTCAGATCTCTGTGTGCATAACAGAGCACACACAGTGTCCCTATGCAAATATTTGAGAAATTTTTATTTTAAATTGTGTGTGTGTGTGTGTGTGTGTGTGTGTGCACATGTATATCTGGGTATGGGTATGTACAGATGTGTGGAGGTGCTCTTGGAGAGCAGGGGTGTTTGAGCCCATGCAGCTGGAGTTCCAGGCTGCAGTGAGTGCTTTGTCCTCTGAGAAAACAGTCTCTCCAACTCACAAGTAAACATTTAAAAAAAATGGTGAGGTCAATAGAGGAAGCCCACCCCCCATCAACCTTCAGTCTCCACGAGTGTGTGGGCACACACGGCAGGCATGCACATGAGCACACACATGAGTATACACATACACCCCCCCCCACATACACGTGCACACTCCCTCATACACATGCACACACCCCACACATACACACACACACATGTACACCCCCATACACATGCACACACCCCACACATACACACATATACTCCCACACATATATACACACACACACTCACACACACACAGATCAGGTATTTGTGAAAAAATCTATACTGTTACAGCATGAATAAAGGATAAACTACACGTACTTAAAGTAGTTTAAAAGTTCACAGGGAACACAGCAGAAGGCAGTGCATCAAAGCATATGTTTATCAGAAATTATGTCTGTTCAGTCTTTTCTTTAGTGCTGGGGCTTGAACCCGTGCTTGCTAGGCAAGTTCTTTACCACTGAGATAAGTCTCACGTTTTCAGTTTCTATGTTTTGTTGAAGCTGAGCATGACGGTGCACACCTGTAATCCAGGACGTGGGAGGGAGAAGTGAGAGGATCAGGCGTGTCAGATCATCTGGCACCAGTGAGTGTGCAGCCGATGTGGACTAGAGAGCCGTTCTTTCCCTGGCTCGTTCTACCATTGAGCTACACCTCTGGTGTATACCTCTCCACCCTCCTTATTTATTAGCTGGGTGGGGTAGCACGCACCTTTAATCCAGCACTCAGGAGGCAGAGGCAGCCTGGTCCACCAAGTGACCTCCAGGACAGCCAGTGCTAACCAGAGTCCCTGTCTCTAAAAACTAAACCAGCCAGCCAGCCAGCCAGCCAGGTACAGTCTTGCAAGGTGGGAAAGGGACTCGGTTGGTACAGAACTTGCTTAACATGCATGAAGTCCCCATTCAGTCCCCAGCATGGCATGAACCAGGCATGGTGGTTCGCACATACCTGTCATCTCATTAGAGGTAGAGACAAGAGGACTGAATAGGATCTTTAAGGGCATTTCCAGCTATCCAGACCAGCCTAGGCTACATGAAACCCCATCTCATGATACCCCATTAGTGACCTCTGGCCCCGCTAAGGAAAACACAGTGGTGCGATAACTTCAGATCTCTTCTGTAGCTTGTCCCTTCCCCAGAGTGACCGTATTTAGTGTGAGGGAATGGTTTGTGAGACAACCACAAGGCCTTTTGGAGGGACAGCAGTCTGGTTCTGAGAGTCTAGAGAGTTGATGACACATTACTTGGGTAATTGGGGAAGTGGCCAGTTAGTGTCACCCTTAGGGACAGGTTTGTTCTCCAAAGGGCAGTTTCTACTAGCCGGAGGCTGTGCGCACACAAGAGCTTTGCTACACCCAAGGTCTTTGTGGAGTCCATGCCCCTGGATGTTCCCTGCTCAGCAGGTGCTCAGCAGGTGCTCAGCAGGTGCTCAGCAGGTGC